ATATTTCATCGTTACTACACTGCACTCTGATTTGCTCCTCACCTCCCCGCAGTCCTTCTGCAAGGGGATGTCTATAACTTTTTATAAGCGTAGAAAACCTCATCTTTCTCCTTCAGAGCAGCTAGTGGTTTAGAACTGCTCACCTTGAGCTGAGCAGCCCAATGCATAACCCTTATAACTGACTTAAAAACAATGAGTTGGGGCTTTGGTTTGGACCACTGCTCTATTTTAACCTTATAGGATTCCACATTTCCCTGGGAAGTCACGGTTCCATTAGAGTAGTGGTTCTCAACCTTCCTAATGCCGCGGCCCTTTAACAGTTCCTCATGTTGTGGTGACACCACCCCCACCCCACCCCGCCCCCAACCATGAAATTATTTTTGTTGCTACTTCATGACTGTCATTTTGCTACTGCTATGAAGGGGTCGTGACCCACAGGTTGAGAACCACTGCATTAGAGGCAGCAGGAAAAAGTAGTTGGTTTAAGAAGCTGCAGCATGATCCCAGACTGCCAAATGCAGGCACCGGGCCATGGGAAGGGACCAGTGGGCACCACGAGGGGAGCACACACAGGTGACTCTCGGGTGAGGGCTCCAGGGTAGACTGAGGGAGCTGGTCCCCCTTCTAGCCCCTGCACATGTCCTTCCCCGTGAGTTGTAGGTGGGATATTTGGGTCCCCGGGCTGCCATGCCACAAAGACCCTCCCTGGGCCACTGTAGCATCGTAAAGGGGGTCACTGACCAGTGGGAAATGCCAATTATTGTTTTGCTGTGGATGCCGATTTCTTTGGGGATTAGCCAATTGTGCACATTTTGCAGTGTCTGTATTTTATTTTTTTAGGGGAGTGTTGCTTTATAATAAGGGTTAGGAACAAAGAATCATTTTTATTTCTACCTAGTGGTTTTTATAAGAGAGTTGCATATCCATAATGGATCATCATCATTATTAATGATGTGACTTAGCATGATGAATTGTGATCGATCTAGGAGCTGAATCACTAGTCACCTGTCAGCAGCTGAGGGACACGCGTGGGGCACACACTACCAGGCTAGGAACCGTGGATAGACAGTGTTGATATACAAGTGGGAAAGTCCTCAGTAATTAACCCTCATGTAAACTATCGACTATTAACAACTGAGAAGGCGTTTCCTTCCTAACTGGAAGGCAATGAGAACAGCAATTCCTGCCTAATTTCAGAATCACCTGTAGGACCCACGGCTGCTGAGTGGCCTGACTCACGGTGACCCGTAGCAGAGTGGAACCGCGCCCGCCATTCTCAAGGCTGTCGTGCGGATGTACGCAGGGGGCCACCTCTCTCTCCTGGGCAGCGGATGTACGCAGGGGGCCACCTCTCTCTCCTGGGCAGCGGATGTATGCAGGGGGCCACCTTTCTCTCCTGGGCAGCGGCTCTAACTTGATTTTTCAGTTAGTTAGCAGGTGGGCCCTTAGCTGCTGCCCCACCAGGACTCTTCAGAATCACCTGTAAGGTCGCTGAGTTGGAATCACCTTGATGGCAGTGAGTTGTTTTCCTCTGTTTTTAAATGGGGCTTGTGGGTGGTCCTGGGGCTGCCGTGGGTGAAGGGACTGCGAACCACAAGGTTGTCAGGTGGAAGAAAGATGAGGCTGTCTGCTCCGGTGAAGATTTACAGTCTCAGAAACCCTAGATAAGGTGGGTGTGAATCTGAAACCACTCCATGGCAGAGACCAAATGAAAACTCATTGCCATTGGATTGATTCCAATACGCAGCCACTTTATAATCGACCCTATAGGACAGAATAGAACAGCCCTGTGGGTATCAGAGGCTGTACATCTTTAGGGAAGCACAGAGCCTCATTTTTCTCCCAGAGTGGCTCATGGTTTTGAATCGTTGATGTTGCAGTTAGTAGTCCCATGTGTAACCCACTTTAGACAGATGGTTGGGTCCCAGCCTCAGTGACTCAGTCGGCGGGGAGCCCAAGAACCTGCTTCTCTAAACAGCGCCAGGTGATGCTGATACTCCTGGTTCAGAGACCGCATTTTGAGAGTCACCGTTTAGAAGCAGCTTCCCACCCTGGGTGGCCCCTCACCAACTGCTTCAGTCGGCATGCAGGATGACTGGTGATTAGAAAAAAAAATCTAGATAATTTTAGCATTAGCTGCTTGTTTCTGATGGCAGGAAAGCTCGATAGACTAACATTTCTGGGCGTTTTCCAATATTTTGATGAAATATTTTTTACAGTGTGTCCAGGTTTGTCCTCTGTTGAAGAGGGTCAAGATGGCAAGGAGTTCTTATAGGAGACATTTTGTTAGGTGAGGGCCAGCAGGTGGCGCTGTGAATCAGTTCACGGTCACAGCGGGCTAGGGCAGGTGGGGAACACAGGAGACCAAGGTGCCTGCTTTAAATCCTCAAAGTAAGGTCCTCTTAACCACGTGTCATAAAATGCTCCGACACGCACGTCTCGGAAAATCGAAGTGTCGAGCTCAGCATCTTTGCCACATTTCAAACCAGGTAATTACCTGCTCTCCCAAAGGGAACCTGTTTGATGTATTTGTGTCCCGTCTACGGTTCAGGTTTCCCAAAGGCAATGGCCTCGCCTTCCACTCACTCTTCCCACTGCTGAAGTGCAGTGCACATTTTACAATAACGATTTCATTATTCTGCATCCCTCTGAGCTAAACGAGGGCCTGTTACATAATTGCTAGCACTCAAGAAACAGGCCTGCCTCATAGAAACCCTGGCAATAAAGGGAAGTTTTTATTTGACCTGAAAGTAAATTGCTTAGTTCCTTCTCCTTTCAATACCAAAAGGCAGGCGATTTCCCTACTGTCCCAAACCGTCCCCCATTAGCAAACAGGTGACACTGTCCTTTGACCTCTCACTTTTATTAAGTCTTTGGGGGGTTTCTGCTTTTGTTTCTTTAACCACACACAACAAATACTTTGATATAATCTAAGATAATAAAATAGTTGGACAGCTTCTATGTTTAAGATTTACATTTGTGTAGAAACAATCTGTGAAACTGCTCCAAACAAAGGGGTGTCAAACCAAGGATTCTTTGATATGGTTTTCAATCATTGCTTGGTTAAACACTGCAGTTTCCATTCTCAACTGAAATAGGTTTTCATGCAGTTTCCCTTGGTCCAAAGCTTAAGACCTCAGGAAGATGGCCAAGAAAAAAGAATTTTTTTTTAAGGATGGCCACTGTCCTCTCTGTCTTGTCCTGTGTGGAAGGTGGACAGCAACTAGACCAGGGTCATTTTTAAAAAGCCAGAGAGGAAAGAAATCCATTGCACATCTCCAGTGTGCCAGGGCCAAAGTCACCGTCAGTTTTTACACAATGACTATCTGTAGCTGTGAGACCCCACCACACTGGCCCAGTGCCTGCTTGTCCCCCAAACGAGCCTGTCCTCTGCTAATGGTGTCAGTTATTTTGAAAAGGCAGTGGCCATGCATTCTCCTAAAGGGCCCACCCTTTTTTCAATCTCCTCTTTTGCACTAAATGTGACTTGGTTGCTATGTCTGGGTGCCCAATACGGGTCTACCATCTCCCAGGAAGTGCCTCACCCCACCCACAAATCCCCAAAGTGCCTAAGAGTGAAGAGCCCATAGCGGTGGTGTCTTCCATGAAACACCTCCCCCCACACCAAGACGTGGGGGAGACGCTGGCCTATATCATTCCATTGATCTTAGTCCACTCGTAGATGTCCTGTTCGCACACTATGTCAGAATTGATGAGGAGGTATCTGTCGCCTACGCAGAAGTGCTTCTGACAGGCGGCGCATTTGAAACATTCCAGGTGGTACACTTTGTCTTTCACCCGCATCGTCATCTCATAGGCGCGGATCCGCTTGTCACAGGATGCGCAGAGACCATCTTGACCAAACAGTCTGGGGTTAAGACGGGGAGAGAGACAGAGAGGTTAAGAAGATGCGTGGCAGTGACCATTCCAGAAGAGCATGCTGGTGTTTCATCAAGAAGATGGACTTGCAAGAGTTCAGGGAGCTCGGAGGCGTTGGGCCCTGGGGGAAAGCTGGTGGCAGTGGTTCTGTCTAGAAAGAGGGTGGTCCGCAATGAAACAGGGCCTGCAGGCAATTGTGTTCTGTGCTAACTCCACCTCTCTTTCCTGGGCTCGCTCTCTGCCTCTAGAAACCATCGCCACCGCCTCCAGGCTGTCTCAGGCCTCCACGGCCTAAGAGGCAGCCCCAGTGATTGAGATAAGGGGCTAGGGCGAAGGCATGCCCTCCTGAGGAGCTTCATTTCAGAAGAGGCACTAGAGGAAGTCCCGGGCCGGGCTGCTCTGGAGGGAGGCAATGACCAGGGATGCATTAAAGTGGGTATCCTTCGCAGGCTCCTCCAACCCTATCCTGTCAACAGCCTCAAATGCCACCCCTGAGGAGGGCTGGCCTTGAATTTCTCCATAAGCTGCAAAAGCCCATCTGCACAGGATTGTTCTCTGGGGACAGAGGGAATGTGACAGAAAACACCTGGTGCAGTTAATCGTGCCTCAGAGCTCTGGAGGGCGAACTGCATCCCTCTGCGTGGAGTGAAAGATCTTAATTTACGAACCTCCGGCAGTTGGCATGGATCTCTGGGGACACTTTTCTTCTGACATTTAAATCAAGACTTCCTCAGTGGATAAGCAAGCCACTTACTTCAACAGCACATCGGCCCGTGAAATCCTCGGCTGTTGAGTCTGTCCTAACTCCTGGTAACCTTTGTGCTCAATGAGGAACCTAAAAGTTCGATAGGGTGGGCAAGCCCAAAGGTGCTGTGGAGGAAAGGTCTGGCGATCATCTCCCATAAAGATTATGGTTGTCCGGTGCCACTGAGCCAACTTTTGACTCACAGTGACCTCAAGTGACACCATAGGCCTGTCCCATAGAGTCGTCTAGGGTGTCATCTTTACAGGAACAAACCACCCGGCCTTTCTCCCGCAGAGCCACGGGTGGGTTTGAATCATCCGCCTCTCAGCCACTGTGGGCTTCCCCATTGCCCAGTCAAGACTCCCCATAAAGATGACAGCCAAGAGCTGTTCTCTATAACGCTGGCGTCACCGTGAGCCTAGTGCTCATGGTTGTTTGATACCACGGAGTCAATGCCAGCTTCCAGCAGCCCCACGCAGCCCAGCAGAACTGCTCCGAAGCCTTGTCTAGGCTGCAGTCTTTACGGGAGGAAGGTGGCGCCACAGGGGACTCACCGGACTGCTAACTGCAAGGTTGGAGGTTCCATCAGACGGTCCCCTGGGAGAAAGAGGAGGCTTAACGTCTCGGAAGCGCACAGGGGCAGTTCTATCCTGTCCTGTATGAGTTGGAATTGACTCAATGGCAATGAGTTTGGCTGGAGTTTTTCTGGGAGCAGCTTGCTAGCTCTTCCTCCAGGGACGCTGCCCAGTGAGTTCAAGGCACTCACGAGAACCTGGGGTAGGGGTGGGGGTGGGGGCGGTGAGACGCAGCACTGCAGGCCACCCTGGCGCAGGCCACCGTTGGAGAATCGTCCTGCCACTGTGGGGGGACACAAGAAGTGGAATCCGAAGGCCAGGTTCAAAGCAGTGGGCCATCCATGCATGACCCCAGGGTAGGGGGACATCTGACTTCTCAGAATGTCAGTGAGATCATGGTGATTATACCATCTACCGAGGTGCCTGGTGCTGGCTGCAGGGTTGGCGGTGGAAACCCACAAGCCCCTCTGCCAGAGAAAGATGTGGCAGGCTGCTGCGGCACGATGAGTCTTGGAAACCCTATGGGGCAGTCCTACTCTGTCCTAATGGGCTCCCTGTGAGTCGGAATGGACTCCACGCAACGGTTTACCTTTGTTGCAGAACATCGGCCTCACTGGGCGATTAGACGGATCAAATGTTGCTTCTCAAAGTACCAAGAGCCAATTCAATGCAGGCTGCGAATTTAACACACCTCAGGTGTGTCCCCAGCTGTGCCTGCCTTGCTGCAGGAAGCTACTTTCACATTAGGCTGAACAAGGTAGCCGAGCAGGTGGCTTCTGCCTCAAAACCTTAGGACAGTTTCAGGTAAATGCTAGTGCGATTGGGTGTTTGTTTGTTTTTTTAACCAGAATTGGAGAGAATCGCCTGGTACATTCCGAAAGGCTTAAGGGGAGATTTGGGCAACTGATGCATTTTGGAAGACCAGGGCAGAACTAATAGTCTCAAGACAGGGTCTGGGAGGGGGCAGCTCCTTTTTCAGAACCATGGCCATGTGATTTCTTCTGCATCTTTCCTTTGGAGAAGTCCCAAGGTTTTCAGAGCACCACCTGGGAGCAAACTCATTACTGGGGGAGAGCACGTTCTCCCAGGGTAGCAGATGGCGGAGCGGTGGGCCGCCCCTGCACTGGAGGTCGAGGCTGCTCAGTAAGTGAAGTCTGGACAAAGCAAGTTTAAGTGACTGAGAAAACCATGTGCCTGGAGTGAGTCCAGCTGCCTGGGGTGTGTGCCCCTTCAGGAAGGAGAGAGCTTATTAAAGGGAGTTCAGGGGGTCGATGATCATACCCATCAGGCAGCTAATGAAGGAAAGGGCCAAGGGCTGAGACAGGATGCCAAGTTCAGGTCCTGTCTAAGTAGCCAGGTGACTCCCAAGCAGATGGCATCCTCTCCGGGCTTCTGTGTCCTAGGCAGTTAGGTAAGAGAACCAGAAGAGACCGCTTCCACGGCTTCCTCCAGCTCTGGTCGTCTGAGAGTCTAAGACCCATGAAAGGAAACCAGCCCTTGGCACCGCACTTGATCATGAACTTCTGGCACCAGGAAAGGTGTCTTGGGTTAGATCTCCCAGAAGCAGATCCTGAGGCAAGGAACCCCGCTGGCATGCTGGGTTGCTAACCACAAGGCCAGCATTTCAAAACCCACCAACCCCTCCTTTGGAGAAAGACGAGGCTTTCTAACCCTATAAATATTTACAGGCTCAGAAACCCACAGGGGCAGTTCTACTCTGTCCTACAGGGTCGGTAGGCGTCTGAATTGACTCGCTGGCATCGAGAGTTTTCTTGAGATCCTGAGGTGAGGATTTATGTACAGGGAACGAACTATTTACGATGTTTTGCAAGTGGATCCTTGCATTTGAGGAGGGGGTGGGGTGGGAGTAGGGGAATGTGGGCTGGAAAGAGGGGGATTCAAGAAAAACTGCAACCTCAGGCCGAGTCTCAGAGGGGAACATGGTCAGCCTGGTCCCACGGGGCACTCCGAAGTGTAAGTTAGGTATCCGGGTCATCACGAGGCCAGGTAAGGTTTCTGGACTTTCGAGCTTCCTCGGGTTCATTAATCCGAGTTTGGACACCCATCAAGGTCCATGGGGTCTCGGGTGCTGGGATACTTTCAGCTCCAAATGGCCTCGGGTACGAAGAGTACAGGGACTACTCCAGAATTTGGCAAAAAAGGGACTCAGGGAGTTCTGGGCAGACACCAACATTAACAGCCAGCTGTTAAAATACCACAGTGGACTAATCACAAGGTCAGCGGTTTGAACCCAGCAGCCGCTTTTTGGGAGAAAGATGAGGCTATCTGCTACCATAAAGAGTTACTGTCTCAGAAACTCACCAGGGCAGCTCTATTCTGTCCTATTTGCTATGATTGGGAATCAACTCAATGGCCGTGAGTTTGGTTCCGATCTGAAAACCCCAGGCAGCAGGGCTCAGGCTGGGGGTGAGGGTTTCTCATGACTGTGGCTGAGAACTGAAAAGGATTATAACAGGTGAGTGGGTCACTGGGGGAGGAGCCCCCTAGAAGGAAGGACCGATTCCCTTCGAAGTGTCACTCACTTCTCCTCGTCTTTATACAGAAACATGTCTGGAACAGGTGAAGAGGGTCGGTCAGCAAGCCCAGGTTGAAGCATCAACCCTGAAGCAAAGCCATTTCTCTTGCTTCTGTCAAGAGGTGTCCCATCTGAGGCTTTCTGCTGCCCATTTTAATAACAATCATATAAATATTAAAGGATGGCTGGCACCGCCCGCACGAACTCAGGCACGTTAATTAACATGTTGCCTGGGAATGTAGCAGGAAGAAGAATGATTTCATGTCACCGAGACACAAGTTAATTAACACCGGCCTCTCCCGGACAATTCCTCCCCCCTTTCCTTTTTAAAATTACAAGAGATTAACAAGCCCAGGCAGCAGCCCTGCTTGTATTTTTGAATGTTCGATGAAATGACAGAGCTAGAGAGAAGCCCAGGCTCTTTCGACCTTACCCGGTCGACATGGCATTTAATGAGATTCAAATGATTTGACAGGGCTGGAGTCAGGGAGCCCGATGGGAATCAGATCCCCGTCTGCTTTCTACACTGACTTGGCAAACTGGCTACTGGGCAAAACCAGGGCCCTATTTATTCCTGTTCTAGTGTCCTGTGACTTGAAAGAAGAGAGAGAGAGAAACACACACACACACACACACACACACATATGTATAATAGTGATTATTGAAAACCACCAAATTTCTCGGAACCTCCAAATATGCAAAGACGATGAAGGAAGTTAGAAGAATTAGAAAGGAGCGGTGGAGGAGAATATTCACTCAGTCTCTGGAAGCAGACAGGCTTTCCTGACCATTGAAGTCGCTGCAGGGTTCTGCCGTAATGTTCATGGGAAACGCTCGGAAGGTAGGTTGGGAGCAAGAGTGGGCCTGGCAGCCAAGGGCACTGGAGTCTAAACAAGCTCTCCCTGGCTGGGTGGTCCTGTGTGCTCCACAGAAGCTGGAAGAAAAAAACCTGCCAGCTACCCAGTTAAGCGGATCTGACAGTAGAGGGCACAGAGTCCCCTCCACAGCAGGTAATGTGACATGGGGAGTGCCAGAAAAGTCTCCTGGCCAATAGGATGCCTCAAAGCACCAGAGGTGTCTTCAGCTGGTGTCCCACTGGGTGGCGGTGAGTTCCCATTCCATCCCTCCATGCTTCTATCTCCTGTCGTTAGCCAGGGAGAGACTGGCTGACACTGTCACCAGGGTTAGTTATCATCGAAGGGTAGCTAGCCTCTATTTGAGACCTCAAGTTGTTGGCATGCATGACCCCAGCTCACCCTACCTTCACCAGGGGAGTTGCTGTCTGCTGCCATCAAGCTGACCCCGACTCATGGCCACCTCATGGACTGAGTGGATGCCTAGAACCAAATGGCACTTGGCTCTGTGGCCTGCAGACAGAGGCCTGATTCCATCCCAGGCCTTGCAGTCGCCCCAAAGCCATCTTGAGCCCTTTACACACATAATTCTGACTGCTAAACTGCAAGGGGAACCAGGGCAAATCCTGGGGAGCCAGGGAGAGGCAGTCGCCCGGATCCATCTCCCTGATAAACCTGGGAAGGCAGGAAGAGGCAACGTGCCTCTGGGAAACACACACGCACGCATGGGAGCTTGGCTTAAGAGTGCCCTCCTCAGAACTAAGACATGTGGGTAGGGGGCCATCTGCATTTTCTTTTTGGGTCCTCTCCATTCTAGCATGTGGGATCAATAGAAACCACACCACTGCCACCACACTCTCCTGACAGTTGTTATCCTACAACTTGTACCAATGATCTCCGGGAGAGCAATGATAACAATAACCTTATCTACAGAGGGATGCCAGGGACCCTGGCGGTGCAGTGGGGGTTAGGCTGTAAGCACAGGGTCAGCAGTCTGAAACAACCAGCTCTCTGCGGAAGAAGACGAGGCCTTGGGCCCCCGTAAAGAGTTACCCAGCCTCAGAAGCCCACAGGGGCAGCTCTACCCTGTCCTATAGGGTTGCTGTGAGTTGGCATCTGCGTGATGACAGTGAGGTTTTTTGTTTTTTTTCAATATAAGGAATCTAGGCCCCCGCCCCCATTCTGTATGTGCACCATCGGCCTTGCAGTGGTCATGGGGTTCAGGCAGAAATAGTTTGATGGCGTGTCAGTCAGGGTCCTATCTCGCTTCCCTCTTTACTGAATGTGTTGAATGAAATTTGTTTTCCTCAATAATTAGAACTTTGTCTTCATTTCCCCTTAGCACTGTACAATGAAACACAATGCAACCTTCTCTTCTTGCCTGCCCTCCACACCCAGGGAAGCCATGCTCTGCCATCCAACAAGGAGCCTGGTGGTGCAGTGGTCCGGCACTCAGCTGCTAACGTCAGTGGTTCGCACCCGCCAGAAGGCCCGTGGGAGAAAGATGGAGCTGTAGGCTTGCCGAAACCCTGTCTGCAAGGACCCCTAAGAGTCCGAACTGACGTGGCACGGCAATGGGTCGGTTGGGTTTGGGTTTGCCATCCAAAAACATTCTGTGTTTTCCCACTTAAGAATGTATCTGAGAGCCTGCTTCTCCAACAAGCTTTTCTGCACCGGCCAGCTGACCCTCAGCCTCCGCAGCCTGACCTGTAGGCCACCCAGGTGCAGGCCTTTCTGAGGCCTGCCTAGCGGGAGATGGGGCTGGGGGCGAAGAGAGGGGCATGGGGCTTGCACGCGCAGATACCTGAGGTAGTCTCTGCGGCAGAGCTTGCGGCCCAGCTTGTAGTAGAGGCGCCGGCCCACCTCCCCCAGCCGGCACCCGCAGAGGTCACAGCTGAGGCAGTCCTCGTGCCAGTACTGGTCGATGGCCTTCAGGAAGTAGCGGTCCCCGATGTTCTGCTGGCAGCCACCACATGTCAGCAGGGACGGGGGGATCTGCAGCACCTCGTCCACTGGCTCCCTGGAGAAGGAGGTCAAACATTAGGGGTGACTTCACTGTGGTCAGAAAGGCTCCCAGGGACAGCAACCGCTAGGAGGCACCTGGGGCCAAGGTAAAGCTAATGTTATGGGAACACCACTGGAGAGCCGTTTGGTGACAGCGGCCAACATGACAGAGTGGCCTGGCATGCCTGGGGTTCCAAGAGGAGGGAGCTAGACTCGAAGCCCTAGATCCTAGGGCAGCTGTCGGGGGTGCTGTCCCTCTTCCCACAGACCAGCCCCATTCTTGGCATGCTGGTCTCCACTTCTCTTCCCCATTCTCCCTGCCCACTCAGCTTTCCTACCGCCTCCTTCCTGCTAGAGCAGGGGTTCTCAACCTGTGGGTCACGACCCTTTCACAGGGGTTGCCCAATTCATAACAGTAGCAACATGACAGTGCTGAAGTAGCAACGGAAATCATTTTATGGTTGGGAAGCACCACAACATGAGGAACTGTATTACAGGGCTGCGGCATTAGGAAGGCTGAGAACCCCTGTCCTAGATGGAGGGCGCAGGGGCCCCTGAGCCCCAGAGGAGGCAATGGAGACCAATCGAGTTGCTTGCTGCCGGGCAGCCAACTACCCATAGTGGTAAAAATTCACGAATTCCCTATTGAGTTCATGTGTGATCTCTAACCCAGGCCCTTCGCAACTGCACTGAGGCAGGAGGTCAGAGAAGGAGAAAGCAGTAAAAATTACTTTACGCTGCTTTCCCTTCCCCAAGTAGGAACACCATCAGCTGGAAGAGGATCGGGAGTCTGGCGGTTTTATTTTCCACAGACATTTCTCAGCCCATCCTTCTCACTCCCTGACTCCTTGCAGGCAAATCCAAGATGCTAAAGGTCTTTCCTTCCGCGGACATCTTGATCACAGCACAACTGATTTGGATGAAGTTGATTTAGTCAGGCACATGAAGAGGGAGGCAGAGCGATTTTAAATCGAGGGGAACAGATCCTGGAACCTCCAGAGAGGCCATTGTTCACTCGTGAGCCAATGATAACATGTTCTTTCCTCAAAAAATTGTACCTAGTATCTTCTGTCCACCTAGCTTAGTGAGAATCTGCCTACTTTTAATTTAAACAAATAACTTTTTCAAAATACAGTAAAGGTGGTGGAAGGAATGATTCTAGCACCAAAATGGAATGAACAAGAAGCCTAAGACTGGTTGATCTACAATAGTTAGCAAGTACTCTTTGGAATTTTACCCAAACACCAAGTTTTTTGTTTAGTTCTGTTTTCGATTGATTATGATTTTTAAAGCAGACCTGTTTCCAACTGTGAAATTCCCAAAGGGGGTTTCCCTGGGGACATTGGAGTATAAATCTTTCTCCTATTTCAAGCTGACACTAACTTACCAGGCGACCTTGAGATCTAATTGGTCTGTGCCCAGAGGACTCAGCACTCATGGAACTTAGGGACAATGAGGCCCAGGGCATCATTGTTTCCAACATCCTTTGATAACCTCAGGTGATTATCAGGTAAAATTCTTGTCTCCATTTGAATATTTAGGAGCTGCTAAAACCCTACCTCTCTTTCCCTTTCTCCTCTCACCTTCTTTTCTTTCACACCCTCCTTTCCCTTCCCCAGGCGCCCCCTTTTAAAGGAATGTATTAGGGCACTCTGGGGGATTGTGTCCTATTAAAACACAAATTCAAAATCCCAGCAGATTTTTTAAAAAACTGATATCTTAAATTGTAAAAATTCGCCGTGGCCTGACTTCCTTTTCTTTTCTTTGTTTCTACTGCTTGTGCGTCAGGCCTTCCGTTTGCCTTCTGAAAAAGCATATCCTTGGCATTTTCATATGCATCAATTCAGAATTGCATCTCTTCCCTTGCACAGGCCATGATCTTACTCGGGGCTTTTGAAATGCTCCTGGCACTGCTACCATGCTGAATGCCCCGGTGCTGATGCTGCCAACCAACTGTGAAAGAGGAGAACCTGCACTTAGCTGGTGCAAAACTGCCTGGAATTAAAATGAACTGCTCTTGTTACTCACAGGAAGGCAGCAGGGGCCACGTATTGCGTAGTAGAGGAAATTTCTCAAGTTAGTGAATTCTGGATGTTTTCTGTCTAAAGGTTTCATGTGCATAAGCCTAGGGAGTCTCCATCTGTAAGACGGATCTGCTGATTGTAAGACCCATGCTGGCCTCAAGGACCAAAACCCAAAACAACAAACCGGCAGCCGTCAAGTCTATTCTGACTCATAGTGACCCTACAGGACAGGGCATCACTGCCCCAGTGGATTCTAAGCCTATACATCTTAGCGGGAGTAGAGAGCCTCACTGCTCTCCTGAAAAGCAGTTGCTGGTTTCCAACTGCTTAACAAGTGACCCACTACACCCACCAGGCCTTTGTAGAATGAGTACACAAGAGGAGGACAGTGGTCCACAGTAGGAACGTTATCCAAAACAGCTGTCATGATGGCCTAAGATGAGATAGGAAAGGACAGGATAAGATACTGGTTCCATCTATCTTTCTATAATTAATGATGCGATCGCATTATCTTTGATGGAGATTCCAAGCCAATGGCTGAGGGGGTTTAACCCTTAAACTAATGTTTTATATTCTCATGGATCCTACTCTGAGTATTACGCCTACATATTATTTCAGCCTGGATTTCTAAGATAATTTATGAGACAGAGAGAGAGAGAGAAATATTGTACTAATTCCTCAACTACTTTATCCACCTTCAGTTAGAACCCAACTTCACTGGGCCAAGAGTGAAGCAAAGAATGCTGAAGGTTAGCATCCTTCAGTAGGCACCTGCTGGGTTATGAGGTTCACTCCACGAACTGTCATTGAGTGGATTCTGACTCATATCGGCCCGATCGATCGAGCAAGAGTAGAACTTCCCCTTTCAGAGGCTGTAAATCTTTATGGGAGCAGAAAGCCACCCCTTTCTCCTGCAGAGCGGCTGCTGGTTTTGACTCCATGGGTAACCCACTCAACCAGCAGGTCCTCTGTGTTAGGTTTGCTAATCTCAGCGACAAAAAATAACTTTTAGAAAGAGCAAACTTCTTCAGGGAACTGAAACTTCCAGATTCCTCTTCTAATAAAAGGATTAGAGTAGTTCAAATCTGCTGATCAAAAGGACATTTGGCACCAATTCATCATTCTTTACTGTATTGCTAGGGCTTTGCCCAGTCTCTGAAAACTCAGGGCTAACTTCTAATATTCTAGGCCTGTACAAAAGTGAGGGAAGCCCTGGTGGCAAAGTGGCTATGCACGGGCCTGTGATATGCAAGGTCAGCGGTTCAAAACCACCAGCTGTTCCCTGGGAAAAGAAGAGGCTTTCTACTCCTGTAAACAGTTACAGTCTCCGAAACTCTGCGGGGTAGTTCTTCCACCCTGTCCTATAGGAGTCATTGTGAGTTGGCACTTGGGTACCTTAAAAAGAAGGAATGTTGTATTGCTTGAGAGAATTTATTTAAGGAAGCTGAGTTTTTAATAAGACACACCTAGCTTCTTCTAGAAACTGGTGTCTTAACCTTCACGATTGAATAGCGATGTTTATATTCTCACTGGATGGAGGCACTTCCTGTGTTTCATGAGAACAGAGTGAGCTTTCATGTCAGTAACTGTGGGTAAAACCCAGGTAAATAAACACCAGGGAGGGCTGAAACTGGAGGGGGACTTCAAGCACTTAAGCAGGAAAACACAATTCTTTTAGAGCAGGAAAAGGAAAAAAAAAAAAAAAAACTCCAAACAAATGCCTCTTGAAAGCACAAATGGACAAGTCATTAACCAGCTCCTTTGGTCTGTGTAACAAATCCCTTCAAAGGATTAGCCTGGAACTTCAAAGGAACAAAAATTCTCAAAACCAGACAACTAATGAATCTTAAAAGGGCATTTGCGTTGACGGGGGAAATGATATCTTAAAACAGTCCCCTCTCCCCCACGTTAACACCCAAGAATGGGCTGGGCTGTAGGCTGGGAGTGGGGAACATGCCTCACGCAGATGCGACAGATACTCATTAGAGCCCTGGTTCTCGGGCCTCAGCCAGCATAAGGGTATGATTAAAACCCCGGGAGCCCTCGCCCAGAAATACTCATATTCTCAAAACGGTACACTGACTTTTGAGGTTCTCAGAGCCCCGGAAGAGGGGTATTCCATGAGCCCAGATGACGCGGAATTTGGTGGCTCCAGCGACTTGGAGGCCAGGGCGAGATCAGCGGCCCGGGCCCCCTGCGCTGTAGGCAGCCGCTCACCTGCGGACCTGGAAGTTCCCGAGACCCGGCTCCGGGAAACGGACACTTGGAATGCCCCTCTTTCCAGAGCCAAACGGACAAAGAGAAGAGGGGCCAGGGGAGAGAAGGGGGCAGAACCAAGCCCCCCAAGCTCTCGGGGTTGCACCTGCGCACCTCCGAGCCACCCCGGTGCCTGCTTCCCTGCAAACTTTCTGGCCCTCGGCCGCTCCGGGGAGCGTGTCCGGCCGCGGGAGGCGTTCGAGAAGGTGCCGGCCTAAACCA